AGGCGCCAGCTGGAGACATGCCGGCACCTGCTCTGGGCCATTTGCAGTCTGGTACCAGCACGTTCCTCAGCAACTCCTCCTAATGCAAATTCTGCCTTCTTGTAAGAGTATGGCATCACGCAAAAGTGACTCAGGATTTCTTTTAGACAGTAAATTTCAAGGCAACCAATTCAAAACAGTATTTTCAGACACAAGTCTGACCAGGCCCTTCCCTGACCTGCACATAATTACCAGAGGCAGAGCCAAGGAGAACCAGCCATGCTCTGGAGCTCAGCAAAATTTTAACAAAAAGCATTTTTGTACGTCAACAGCAACAACCCTGAGCCAGGCTTTCACCGAGCTGCTCCACTGCAGAGTCAGTCCTCGCCTCCCTCGCTCCTTCCCTGCAGAAGACAACTCCCGACGGGCTTTTCAGCCCTTCTGACAATTTCACTTCATAAACTAAAACCCAGCTGGCTGGTCGACCATCAAAGCTCCAGCCTCAAACCCGAGCACTACGAAAAGCCTTCGAGAACACCACCTAAGCACACCCCATGGCACTGGGCTGACGCCCAAAACTCGGAAAAATTCCTGGACCCAAGCCCCGTGAAGTGTCTCCCGGCAGCCAAGCACTCACAGAGCTGTCTCCCTTCTTGGGCATCGCCGGCTTCCTGGGGAAGAGGATGAGCTTGGAGCGGTACTCCTTCAGCCTCTGCACGTTGGCCTGCAGGGACTCAGTAGATTTGTTGCGGCGCCGGGGATCTACAGAGATTCCAATAGTCCGGGCAAACTTTTTGTTAATGCCAGCGAGCTGAAGAAAGAGAGAAAAAGAGAGCACGACATCAGCACCAGACAGCTCGCACCAGCACCATGCTGCTGCCAGCAGCCGCGTCGGCGTCCGGGGTCTGACCAAAGGGCCCGCTAGCAGCGTGATGGACCAGCTGTGCCGCAGGCAAAGGCCGCCCCGGTGTATTTTAAAGCTTAAAATATTCCACAGACTTTAGTTTCTGCAGATGGAACCCACAGGTAATGATGAGGGTGAAGATTAGGTTCTGATGCACAAGGGATAGAAATTTCTGAAGTCAGCACGCAGGTAGCTCTGGTTCAGTGAATACCAGAAACTCCAGTAAAGAAGTATTTTTTGGTAACAACGTCCAACAAAAAATAATTTCGTTTTCTATTTAAATACGAACACCCACACCGCATACTGTTTGATATTCCACCATTATCCAAAAATTAAAGAAAAAATGAACTAATGAAGCAGCTGGCATACAGAGGAACAATTTGACTGCTTCAGCGCACTAATTCCACCGTTATAAATGTTTTAATTAGCTACTGAAGAGCACACAAGAGGCGAGTGGGGACGCCGGCTGCCTGCAAGCACCAGCGCTTGATGGGGCACACAGCGCGGGGACACGTGGGTGAGGGTTCCTGCAGTCCCCCCACTCCCCGATCCAGTCGCAGCTCCTCAGCTGGGCACGCCCAGGAAGGTCAGCGAGAACAGTTTCCAAAGAGGACACCAAGCGTTTCCCACGGATTTTATGCATCCCTAGATCAGCAGCGATCTGCAGGAGCAGCAGCACCGCTCCCCTTCCCCACACTGCAGCCCCTGCTTCTCTCGGGAACAAGGTGAGCACAGTTTAGTTGGTCCAATGTGTGAAGAGGTTTGCACTGGCCAGAATTTTCTGTATTAGAAGAGATGTGTTTCACGAAGAAACTAAAGAGTTTAATGAAGCACGTAAAGAAAAGGCCAGATCAGTGATTTCCACGCTCCTGCAGAGCCAGCGTCAGCAGACACCTTGGCCAGTCATTCACCACCTACACAGTCAGGACAACTAAGTTCACACTCGGCTTTCGGGGTTGGGATCACCTCCCTGTACTTACTTTAAGCTCCTCCAGGCTGAAGCCTCTACCAGCACGAACTTTTTTGTGGTATCTGATGGTCGGACACCTCACGATAGGTCGAATGGAAACCCCGGGCGGGGGGGCGATTCGCCGAGCCTTCGCCTGGCGGGCCTTCCTCCTGCGAGGTAGGAGAGCGGTGAGCGAGGAAACGTTGGCTGCCGGGTGACCTCCCGCGAAGGCACACAGCTCAGGCGGGGCGCGCTCCCGGCAGTCATCAGACAGACAAGGGTTCGAGGGAATCAGCACAGAGGTTCAGCGATTCCGGAGATTTTCTCATCACTTGACTGCAGCGCCAACTGCCTGACCCCCACCGGAGCCCCCCGGGGAGCTCCCACTGCAGCCCCGAAGCT